ACGGGCTGCTGAAGCGGAGCCAGTGCCGCCGAATGGCTCTGCCTGCCTTTGGTGCCCGCTCGCTTGAAGGCGATGTGTTTTGCAAGGTGTAAGTGATGGGGCATTGGCCATGGTGTCTGTGTGGTGCCTGGCAGCAGCTGCCCTCTGACGTTGTCCCTGATTTGTCTGGCCGGGGAAGTTCAGTCGGATCCGAAAGGTATTTGTGGCGCTGTTGGTGCCACTATCCTTAGCTGCAGTTAAATCGATCCAAAGAGCTGGTTCTGTGAAACGGCAAGTGTTCGTACCCCACCTTCCATGAGCTCTGTCACTTAATTACAACCAGTGGGGTTTGTCTGAAACTGGTTTGGACTGTAAACCTCATGGGACCCTTCGCCACTAGACATAGCTCGAGCCAATGGCTTGCAAACTGCAGGACATAGGTCACAAACATATCTTTTGCACAACTTGTTTTGACGTTTTGAGCAACACCTTGGCCTTCAGCCCATTGCTTAAAGAATAAACACTGTGGAACACCTAATTTTGTTTGTCCTCCTGTGCTTGGTCACGTTATAAAGATTTGCGTAAAGGAATGGTTTTAATTGTAGTAATACTGAGACTTAACTTTTCCTAAAAAATGGGAGATTTACATTTTTCTGCTCTAATCTTACCAAGTATGTCTACACTAGGTGTAGAAATGTAGCATGGGCAAATCCAAATTAACTCTGTCACAAACTTACCATGCTAAGTTTGTAGGTGCAAAAGTTGGGATTGGCAACAAAAGTGGCAAGTTCCAATGCTTGTAAAGATTAATTTGGCATCAGATACCGGAAAGATTCTTCATTGCAATTTTGAATTTTGCCATCCTACAGTATGCCTGGATGCAAATATAGCTGTAGACCATAAAGACAGTCAGCTAAGCATGTAATATGCCCTGCTTGGCCTCTTCTGTACTTTACCCTGTTCAAGTCTCTGACTGAGCTTCATGGGTCAGTTATTAGTTCAAGCTCTAGCTATCTGCAGTGTTGAATTTCAATCTAAAAACAGTTCAGATCACACTCAGAACAAAATAATCTCTGCTGATGGAATCCATTGAGGAATGACCTTACAGATCAGGTTGAGCCCTTGTGCAAAGACTGCAAAAGCTTTGCCTTTGAATGAACTTTTGCTCCAAAATTTATGACCATAGGGGGAACATCCCTCCACTCCGAAAGCCCTTCCACCCAAACCCCTGAGGATCCAAGTTACGTCACGCAGGAGGCAATGTCATTTGACCCCCAAGAAGGAGATAAGGCAAGGATTTTACTATTGTTCTACCCTTTGGATATGGAAGGTGCTCATATATTGGAGATGAGTAGCAGTATGGCTTCCCAGGGGGCCCTGATGGGCTCCCTTGTCTTTGATAAATGTCGAAGTCTGAACCGTGATGGTGTTCAGTCTTGCAGCTGGGGCAGGTCACAAATGAAGAAGGGGCACTTGATGGCTGTATGCTAAGGCTCCTTCCCCATCACCCAGCCAACATTTTTCATGTGACTCACATCTGTCCCCAGGTGCTCCATCATACAGCAGATGCATAGCCAGGCACTGGGCAGGGTCACGGGGCACTCAAGAAAAAGGTGCTGGGGATCAGGCCGTGGGGATTGCCGGCACAGTTCACCTGAAGGGCCCCTGCGAGTGGTGGGGTGCAGGCCAAATGAATCATTTTGTTGGGATTAGTTCAGGAAAGCCATCTCATCTCGAAGAAAAATATACCATGCATCCATTGTCTACCATTTCTGTACTGTCCTCTTGTTATGGACAGACAGAATAAAATTCTTTTCTCTGCAATATTCCCTTTGCCTCTGGAGAGCGGGCTCTCCCTCCAGGGCCCTCCGCTGCTGCCCTCCCCTGGCAGTGATCAGGAGAGACTTTAAACTTTGGTGTAACTGAAAAGGGAAAAGGGGGCGCTCTGAACCTGTGATGTGCTGCCATTCAGCTGGGGTGAGTCTCACACTTGCAGAACTGGGAGCTGAGTTTGCACTGCTCCAGCAGCAAAGGCAATAAAAGTACCCTAGGCTTTGATATAGGACAAGTTATGTTTCAGGGCAAAGACCTAAGGAGAAAATAGGGTGAGAAAAGGAGTGAGGTATGAGAAGAAAAGAGACTGTGTGAAAGGATGTATTTTTATAAATAGGACTAGGTAGTACGTTTAGATGAGGGGCAGGAGTGGAATATCTCGAAGAAGAAAAGATATAGCAGCTGTTCTGTAGCAGTGAAAAGGGTATGGAAGAAAGGGACAAAAGTGATCCAGAGGGAAGGACTTAGAAAAGAGAAAAATGGATGAGGAAGACGTAACATGAATTATTTCCTTAGAGATTTTGCTAGCTAAAATAAAGAGAGGCAAATTGCTTCCTCTTTCCTCTCCCTGCAAAAACATGTGCATGCATACACTGAAACAACGTTTTCTTCATTTTCACAGCAGTCCTGCCCTCTGAGAACTGGGGAGGATATTTCCTTGCTGCAGTTAAAGGGACAAGTGCTAGCAGTAGTGGGAGGGAGCAGGGGAAACACACAGGAGGGATGAGTGCATGAATGATTTTACAGGGGAGCACAAAACCATGACAGGGAGCAGAGAGGTGTTTGGTGGGGTCAGTACAGGAAAGAGGGAATCTCATGAAGAATAGACGGCAGGAATAGAGCGCCAGGATGAAGGGAAAGAAGATAAAGAGGATGAGGGAAGGAGAGCTGGCAATTGATTTCTGCAGAAAACAGAGGAAGGGGGAAAGCTTTTATGTAACATCATTTAAATTTATTAACAGAATGTATTTGCAGAGCGTAGCCATTTCTCGTTTGCCAGGAGCAGTGCATGTTACTGGAAGTGCACAACCCCATCACTGACCACTCTGTGAACGGAGATTTAAAATGAACCTTTTGAAGAGTACACAAAATCATCTTGCACTTCCTCTGCCACAACCGGACGTGTGAAGTGGGATTTAAGGGGACAAGAGAAAATGAGCTGTCCAAACAGTAACAACACGTCCCGAGTTTTCCTTGGCTTTCTCTTGCATTTCAGCCTTGAAAGGCCCTCGCTGGCCTCCCCGTCAGCACCCACGAAGGGGTGCTGTTGTCCCAGCCTCAGCTGCTCAGCCTGCAGCGGCCGGGTGCAGTGCACCTGCTCACAGCCTGCTCGCGGGCACCGGGCTGAAGAGTCCGATGGGCATTCAGGGTTGAACGGGATTTACTGAAGTGAATAGTATTGGCTCTCTGTGCTAAGGAGAATAGGATTTATTATGCTGAGTACCGTCTGCAGCGAGCAATGTACACCGGCATGTAGCCTGTATTGCACATTGCATTGACTGAAGAGGGCTTGTATTGACGCTGCGGTTTTTGGCTGGACAGAGTTGGGCAAGCCTGCAGAGTGAAGGACAACGTCTGTAATTCTTTCAGCTTGCTCTGAAGCAATGTATAATCTGGAGTAAATCTCCAGGCCTCTCTCGCTTCCTCAGCTACATCTCAGAGAAAGGAGAAGGGCTCTTTCTATTCTGATGCAATGAGTCAAGGGGCTTCCAGGATCCTTGCGTAACAAGATCAAGAAAGTATTGCTAGCTGCTTAGTTCTCCTTTTCAACTCATGTTCTTGTCTACGTTATAAAAACAATAAATGTACAGTCCATAGATTGAGCCACTTTACTCCCTCCAGGGGTTGGCCACTTAGTGGAAGCATCTTAATGTCAGCCTGGCGTACAGCCTGGTTTGTGTGCCATGGGCCACAAGCTGAACCTGGAGGCCATGTCTCTGCAGAATGTGTATTTTAGCCAGAAGTTACGCAAGGTCTCCAACCCAGCTCATGTGTCATCATGCTCCCGCTGCCATCTCGATAGTAGATTCTGCCCTGAGCCAGCTGTCTTTAGATAGCGTAGTCGTGCTATGGGCTAGGCAAGTTTTCTCTTCCAATACACAGTCTAGCTCTGAACTGGGCCTGGCTTCCTGTCTAGATCATGTAGTCTGTCCATGAACAGGACCCTTTCCTCGACCAGATAACACTTGTGGGCTTTGCAATCTCACTGTGAATAGTGCTTGATTTGTGAGCCAGGCCAGGTCTCTGCATCTAAGTGACAAGCAGAGTGATTAAAGTCCCTTGCCGCTGCATTTGACAGAAGTGACTGACTTCTGATTCAGCTCTGGCAAAAGCTGAAGTACTCAGTGCTTTGAAGTGCCAATGCTCGGTGCCACATGAGACCCACCATGCAAATTGTTTCTAAAAATGTTGGTGAGATATCAGCCTCAGGAGATATCAGCCCTGCCCAGCGATGCAGTGCAACTGCTGTTCGGAAATTGCACACAACACAGAGCGTTGCAGAACAGAGAAAAGTGTTGCATGCTTGTGCATAATGCATTTATTTATTCTTGTCCTCAAAGTTCCCAGTTCAAGTTGCCTGGGAATTTAGCTTCTGCTCCTTTCATTTGAAAATTTATTAAACAATAGGTAAGATAAGTATTGTGCTGGACTGGCATTCAGTGAAAAGTCCTTTTATCCCTTTAACAGCTGCCACACAGACAACGGCAATGTAAACTTTCTCTAGGCATAACCTGTTAGGAATCAGAAACGTCGTTCAGTTTTCAGTCAGAAGAACTTGCTGTTCAGTCAGACCTTGGGCTGCATGCTAAGAAAGCTGTTGAGAGGGCCACCTGTGACACTGATTTCTATGACATTGAGAGGTGTTCAGTAGGACCGGCCTGAGAACAGTACAAAACATGTTTGTATTCTGCATGGCTAGAATTGTGTCAGCCATGGGATTGTGTCAGCTCCTACGTTCTGAATGTAACTTTTAATTTATTCATATTAAGTCTTGTTGCATAATAAAACTAGTAACTGGTAGAAGAGTTGTTCGGTCTAGAAAGAGGCTGGCAATGACTGCTGTTGGTAATATTTGTCCCATCACTGTATAAATGCAATGGGATGAAGCCATGCCTCTTAGTACCCCAGTTCAGTTTGTTCTCTGAAGTCAAGTGGATCAGCACTTGGAAATAAGAGCTCTCCAAAGACATTCTAGTGCTGCAAGAGATGACACTAGCTGTCTGTACACCATTGACCAGACCTGGGTTGCCTGGTATGAATGAGGATGGTTTATCTCGGTGTGATCCTGTTCCTAAGAGCAGAGCTGCTGAGGCAAAGCATTATAGGTGAAATGCTCCCCGTACTGTACAACGTTTTCCTACGTTTACTCCATTTTAGGGGCAGACTATTGCTCAAAGCCTGGAATTTAAGAAGCCTGTTTAATCTGTACAGAACCATCATGCTAGCACACTGGCAAAAGAAACATGTGAAATGATTCAACCTTTCAGTTAGTATCTCTCTCTCAGCTATTTTATTATGTGGCCGCCATGCAGTACACTGTCTTGTACTCTCTGCCCAATACAGCTTAGCTAGAATCACTTATAACCATGTCCCTTCATCTAGTTACAGCATCTTTGGTAACGGGGCTTATCCATTCACATCGATTCCCAGAGGTCTACAATGCCTGGCATGCGAGTCTGCGCGCGTGTGCGTGCACGTGCGCGAGCGCATATATGAGGTGTGTGCGCCTGCGTGTTTTCAGATGTGCTCAAGTGCAGCTGCAGAATTAGAGCAAAAAATGCCAATAGTACAAAGCGT